CCATTATTCCTAAGAATGGCACTGAAAGTGACTATTCCGTGCACTTACAAAAGTATACCTTATCATTTTTTTTGTCCCTCAGTGAATGACCAACTTGAGGAGAGAATATGCAATGTATGTAGTAAGTACTTTGCATCAAATAAGGCAATAAGCATTCACAAAAAGCTTCACCTGATCTTTTCTGAGCCTCAGCGTCGAAGAGCAAAGAGGATAATTTCACGACACGGGCGAGAGCTCACATGTGTCATCACAGAAAATGAAACAGAGGATATTATTGAGTGGGTGAATCAAGAAGAAATTTAAGTGGACTGTGAAAATGAAATACCTTTGAGTGAAAAAGAAGGGTCACCGAAATTGCGCATATGGAAACTGTGCATTTAGACATTATTTCGGTTTCAACCGAAACTGTGCATGTATGCTTATTTCGGTTTTTGCCATATGCATTATTTCGGTTTTCAACCGAAACTGTGCATGTATGCATTACTTCTTTTTCTTTTCATATGCATTATTTCGCTTTTAAAACGAAAGTATGCATATGCATAATTTCGGTATTTTCTCATATGCATTATTTCGGTTTCCAACCGAAACTGTGCATGTATGCATTACTTCGGGTTTTTCATATGCATTATTTCGGTTTTCAACCGAAACTGTGCATGTATGCATAACTTCGTCTTTCGCATATGAATTACTTCGGTTTTGAACCGAATTTCTGCGCAACAATACTTCCGGCCCCCTTTTCCGGCAACACAGAAAGGAGAATTCTACTTAGTAAGGGTTATAATCCCTAAGCGCGGCCGAAGGCCGCCTACGCAGAGAGAAGTTCTGCGCAAAAGTACTTGCGCCCTTCTTTTCCGGCAACACAGAAAGGAGAATTCTACTTAGTAAGGGTTATAATCCCTAAGCGCGGCCGAAGGCCGCCTACGCAGAAAGAAGTTCTGCGCAAAAATACTTCCGGTCCCCTTTTCCGGCAACACAGAAAGGAGAGTTCTACTTATTAAGGGCTATAATCCCTAAGCGCGACCGAAGCCCGCCTACGCAGAAAGAAGTTCTGCGCAAAAATACTTCCGGCCCCCTTTTCCGGCAACACAGAAAGGAGAATTCTACTTAGTAAGGGTTATAATCCCTAAGCGCGGCCGAAGGCCGCCTACGCAGAAAGAAGTTCTGCGCAAAAATACTTCCGGCCCCCTTTTCCGGCAACACAGAAAGGAGAATTCTACTTAGTAAGGGTTATAATACCTCAGCGCGGCCGAAGGCCGCCTATGCAGAGGGAAGTTCTGCGCAAAAATACTTCCGGTCCCCTTTCCCGGCAACACAGAAAGTAGGATTCTACTAAGTAAGGGTTATAATCCCTAAGCACGGTCGAAGGCCGCCTACGCAGTAAGAAGTTCTGCGCAAAATTACTTCCGGTCCCCTTTTCCGGCAACACAGAAAGGAGTATTCTACTTAGTAAGGGTTATAATCCCTAAGCGCGGCCGAAGGCCGCCTTCGCAGAAAGAAGTTCTGCGCTAAAATACTTCCGGTCCCCTTTTCCGGCAACACAGAAAGAGAATTCTACTTAGTAAGGGTTATAATCCCTAAGCGCGACCGAAAG